AAGGAGCTGTTCGGAAAAACCTATGGGGCATTCGTCCGGTCTCACTTAGAGTATGCAGTCCAAGCCTGGCGACCGTGGTTAAAGAAAGATTATCAACGACTGGAAAGAGTACAGGCGATGGCTACGAAGATGGTCAAGAATATTCATCATTTGCCTTACGAAACCAGGCTGACTGAACTAAATCTGTTTCCTCTAAATTACAGGCAACTGCGCGGCGATCTCATTCAAACCTACAGGATTGTCAGAAGCCGAGAGTGTGCCCTAGATTTTGATGAATTCTCTGAATTGGCCCGGACTGACAGTCTGCGTGGTCATCCGTTCAAACTGCAAAGGAAGCGGGCTCATTCGGACGTCCGACGGAACGCCTTCTCACACAGGGTCATCGGGGCATGGAATGGACTCCCTGATGCCGTCGTTCTTTCCGAAAGTGTTAAATCCTTTAAGTGCAGACTAGACGCTCACTTGTTGAGAACCTACTGTACATACAATCATGATTGTTTTAGCGGCGGCAGTTTGCGCCTGGCTCACACTTACCGCTAACTTATTAACTTTTCGCATTTGCTGATGTAATTGATGACTTTATTTCTGTTTATCGACATGAATAGGGTGCTCAAGGGCGAAAGCCTCATTCCCTTAATAAACTGACTTAAACTGACTTAAACTGACAGGTCAGTGGAAATGACGCCCGAGAATACGCAGAATTGTCTACAAAAGTGATAGATGTATTCGTAAATTCGACGGACGCAAAATTGAAGCGCTTGTATACAAATGCACAAGGCCTCGTGTAGAAACCGGATGAGTAAAAACTTTGCATTGCAGAAGTCTCCCCGGATATTATAGCGGTAACCTAAACATGGCAGTCCAGAAATGTTAATTTTACTGCAGGGTAATAATATTAGTTTTGTAATAAATGTATCGAACGCACAGGGAACGCCGTCAGGATGGTGAAATGGGCATATATGTGAAAGACGTTTTGATGGTGCCAGAAAAAGCTACCGGATTCGGGTGAGGCACGGAAGTTACACGATTGATCCTCGGGCTATTGGATCCCTATGTGTGAATGTCCTCCCTATCTACCGACCGCTTAGGAAAGACCGAAACGCAGACATTCATCTGCTGGAACAGCTGTTTAAATTATTCAGTCGATCTAGTATCACGGTCATGAGCAACTTCTGCGCACCAGTAATTTACTGGAACACTATTCAAACGTCATAGCCAAGATCGCCATTCCACTACCGTTTGCTGCACAAGACATTAAGGGCTCTCCTCACGCAAAAGATAATGTTTTCGAGGGGAAAATGTGAAGGTCAAAAGGCTAACTGCCCGGAGTAGTTTTTTACGAAAACATCAGACGTAGATGAGGTAGTCTCCACGCCCCCACTTGGTCGAAACTACTGTGAAGTGCTAATGTAGGACTACTTAACACTTTGCAGGAGACTTTAATCAGATGAGCACAGATTAACGTGGCCTCGATTGGGGCTCAATCTTTATCGGTAATGCCAATGATGACTGGGTGTTGTTCAAGAACGTCTGTTTGTAGCTCATCAACAACTACCGTCCACTGACGAATGTAAAGCTGAACAAGCGGCCTAGGTGGTTAAAAGAAGAAGTTACTAAGATGCACAAATTTTGGAGAAAGTACTGCTTCACCGGGTAAGTCAAATATTTCAACAAATACTAGACACGGAAAACTGTTGCGACGCAGTCTGGTACGCAGAAATTACACGGAACATATGCATCTTGACTGTCCTTCCCAACAACAACAAGATAGACAGATAGGACACGATCTGCCCCGAAAAAATTGTATGAGAAACCGTCAAGTCCTTCTCACTAGAATGTAACGCGTACTTTTAAAATCTTATTGAGTTTTGCCAACGTTCGGTCCAATGTACTTCTAGGAAAAAATTCTAAACGGGTTGAGCAAATTCTCACAGACACGGACCAATGGGGTTCAAGAGAGTAGCCAATGACGAGACGTTTCCAGCATCCTGACAGTGTGGTAACGGCATGCTGGAGGATGCGCACGTGGCTTCCAGTGAGCTACTGGCTTTAGTTTTTCTGAGTGTAAGCGTTCCCAGTAGAGCTAACCTGTGAAGCATGAGCAATAAAACGCGTCGGGAACTAGGGAAGGATTTGTTGCGGAAAGTAACTCAGAATCTGAAAGTACTCTACAGCTACCTCGGAAGAAGTATAAGTAACGAGCATTTACTCCCTATAACAAAGCCTACGGAAGAGGATGGAACTGCTGATATGATTGATAAGGCTGTGTTTTTTTCAGTTTTCCAGTCGGTCTGCACAAACAAGAAAAGAGTCTTCCCTGCTTCAACAGAAGGACTACCAGCTCCGAACACAGGCTATATACTCTGTACAAAATATCGCATCGGAAGTGAATGAAGGGCATCTGTAGGAGAACATGATATTCCACACAAGCGTCTAAAAGAGCTTGCAGGTACACTCTCTACACCTCTGTCGATACTTTCAAACGTCCTTTAACACTAGAATGTCTCCCGTCTATTGGAAATTGGCGCATATTACTGCATTATAAAGCCATAGCAGTGTTGAAGAAAAATTAAAGGTCCCTAAGGTTAACATGTATGCCTACACTAGGTATGGAGAGGGACATTAAGAGTATATTGGTGCAGTTCTTAAAAAGTTACAGTTTGCTATGCAACTACCATCACGGGTTATGGAAAGAAGGATCTTGCATCAAACACTTGCTACAACGTCATCAGAGCTGAGTTCAAGCTCTCGACGACAAACCTGCCGTTTACACTGCTTTCATTGAATTCCAAAATGCTCTCGACACTGACCCAAACCGGAAATTGTTATATAAACTGTAAACAGTAAACATCTACAGTATCTTCCTCAAACGACTTAAAAGATCCCCTGTGGGTCGACACCATGTTATGTGCATCGACCAGGAGAAATTAAATCCCTCGATAGTCGACAGTGGTGTTATCCGGAGTTCAACACTGGGATCCATTTTGTTCCTAATATAGGTGGACGATTGCGTAAGAGATTTGGACTGCAAAGTAGCAATTTTTGTTGATGACATGAACATATGGAATTAGATCCGAGGCCTTCCCGACGAAGATAGAATGCATGTCAACCTTAATGGATTAGGGGACTGGTAAAGTCGCTGATTCACGTGGTTCAGCGTGGGCAAGCGTACCGCGTTTAGCCTAGACAAACCAGTCCGATCCGTCAGCATAACATTTTTTTTTCTCGACAGTACAGTTTTTCGGGACGTGGAAGTCCAAAAGGACTTCGGCGTGCTAGAAATGAGATCTTAAAACCATTGCGTAAGAGTGGTAAAAATTGCAGTGTGTTTTCCACCCAGTTAACGAATGTTTGTGGATTTAGATGAAGACCTTCACTGCAAGATCTTCGTAACATCCGTGCGGCCGCACTTGGAATACGACGTACAAGTCTGGAGACCGCTGACGGTTCCATATCAACATATTCATGGAAGAGTCCAAAGGAAGACCAGGAAATTTGTAAGGGTAAAACTGCCTTCACTATGCAACCCGCCTAACAAATCTGGACCACTTTCCTTTGAGGTATAAGCAAATACGCAGAGATCCCTTCCAAACATTTCGCATTCTAAAGGGGATGGACTGCAGCCTGACGGTTGAGGAATTATTTGAATCTGTTGTCGAGACCAGCCTTCGGGGTCGCATATAAGAACTGGCCATTTATCCGGCAAGACTGTACGTGCGAATGTATTCCTTCTCTGTTAAAGTGGTCAAATCATGGATGTCCTATCCGCAGATACTTTGATCTCATCATCGATAAAAAAAGTTCAGAAGAAAATCTGACAAGCTTGTTTTCCCACAAGAACAAGGGTTATGAGAGATCGAGTTTGACCCTTGAGACTGACTCCCAATTCTCAGCACATTTATAGACCCAGTTTAATTATTTCAATTCGCGTGGTTTCTCTATATACTGCACAATCTCTTGCGTTGTAAACAGGACGCTTAAAGAGTCGTTCCTATTATCTCTAATAAGTCGAACTGATAAACGCCGGGAAGTAGTTGCGAACGAAATATGGACATAAAGTAATTTTTTTGACGTACGGAAAACCATGCAAACCTGGGTTATAAAATTGGACACAACTGATAAAATATAAAATAGCGAACGAATGAACTAAAAGATGAATATCGTTTTAACTTTAAACGGTTTTTTCTTATTCTGTCATTTCGCAAAGTCACGAATGTCTGTGAATTAGTCTGTGTTTCTCGCTAGATGGTGGACGATCTAAGCTTCAAATTGAAAAGACTGCTATCTCTTGACTCTGAGTAAGCTCATATGGGGCTAGCCGCCTTAGCTCCAACAAGCAACCGGGTTTTTTAAATAGTCTCCATGTGGGATCTATCACGACTTATTGGGATAACTCGTTCAAGAGCTTAGTAAAATAAAAGAGTTCTTTACATACCCCGAGTCCATTGCTTATATGCGATACTATCTCATATCCTTGAATAAAGATTTCTAGTATTCCCTGATTTCCAGTTTATGAGGAAAATCGTTGTTCCGAAAATTTTCACATCTTACGTCTACAGCCCATCTCAGAATAACCTCGCCTTGTTCTATCACATCGATAAACGCAATTACGCATCCTTTAACGGTGCAGCGCGCATTTCGGCTATAGTTTGGATGCAGTAGCATCTAGTCTTGGCGGTGCCGTGTTTTTTCTTATCATAAGATGGCTTCCTACAAAGAGTGTGAACGAGTCGCCAAGAAGATCCTACAACGATGTTTAGTCAAACCAGAAATATGCATTATTTGTGGCTCTGGACTAGGAAGAATAGCGGACCTTTTTACACCTACCGCATCATTGCGCTACGACGATATTGAGGGATTCCCCTCCCCAACCGGTTCGTTTTTGCCCCTAAATTATTTCGACAGTCGATGGACACGCCGGAAATCTTGTTTTTGGGGAATTTTGTGGCAGGAATGTCGTTGTTATGCAGGGTAGACCACACATATACGAAGGATTTTCTATGTCTCAAGTACGATCGTTTTTACGTGTTTTGACTTGTCAGATGGCTCTTCCTCTTCGCGTGCTCAAAGCTTTGGGTGTTCACACCACGATTATTACAAGCGCCGCCGGTGGGCTTAACCCTGATTACCGCGCGGGTGACATTGTAATTGTGAAGGACCACATTAATCTAATGGGCGTACTCGGGACGAATCCGCTTGTGGGACCAAATGATGAGAGGTTAGTTCCCGTTATTTTGTAAAACTTTTTAGGTTCGGTCCTCGGTTTGTGGCCTTATCAAGAGCCTATACAAAGGAACTGCGCGACATAGCCAAGTCTGCCGGTGCCAGCCTAAATCCTCCGATAGACTTACAGGAAGGTGTATATTTACAAGTCTCAGGACCGTGTTTCGAAACCATTGCGGAAGCAAAGCTATTTCGCTCATTCGGCGCTGATCTTGTTGGTAAATAACACTTCGACATTCCTCAAATTGTCACATTTAAATCCGTCTTGATTCGGACTATTTTTCCTTAGAGCGAGGAGGTTGCGACAAACGCGATCTTAAGCCTTAAGTATTGATGCTGCTTGCCTAGCTTAGATCGTGCGAGTCTTTTATTCGAAGCTTCTTTGATCGAGAATTATTTTCCACGGATATATCAGTCTTTTGGGCGATTGCAAATTATCGAGGTTGTTCATCCGAATTGTAGTCAGTATGCTGACGTAACTATGCAGCATTGAACCCGAACTCGAACTACTAGGCCGGTAATTTCATATGTCATATTTCTGGACGCTTCTCTCTAACACCTTCCTCTGTGGTTGCATTTTTCCGTTTAACACTTCAATTAACCATTCCAGAAACAAATGAAATGGGTTTTGGGTTATCAACGAACATTTCAGTTGATTGTTATTTTATTTAACTTCCAAATTTTCGTTTTTAAAACAAACTACCCCTCGACCTGCACTTACGTTTGTGTTCTTGTGTTGTATGGGGACTAACTTTAGGTATGAGTACCGCAAATGAGGTCGTTACGGCTGTGCATGCAGGTCTGGACGTCCTTGCGATTTCCCTCATCACCAACAAAGTCGTCGTAGACGAGCTTTCCACTGAAGAGGTCAGCCATGAGGAGGTACTTGCCGTGGGTGAAGAAAGATTAGAAGCCATGGAGCGCCTGATAGCTGAAATAATCAAACATCTTCCTTGATCATGCTCTCATTCTTCATTTGTCAGCTGTAATTTCGGCCTAGTTTTTCTAGTCTTTTACATGACAAATAAATTATCGAAACCTATGTTTGATCTTCCTCCAAGTAAACTTCAGTTTCAGTCTTTTCGAATACAGATGAATCCATCAGTGGTAGGGCATTACTTTTTCGAACGCAGAATAGGTTCAGTATCCTAATCCTTTCCCTGATCAACGTTGATTTTCAAGGACCGTACAATTCTAGCGAGGTTGGTCGTAGCAAAGCTGATAATACAACTTTTCTGAAATCACCCCTCAGGTGGTGATGGCCACAGTTCCTGGGATCGTATCTGTTAATGTATATTGCATGCACCTCGTTAAGAATGGGTATAGAAGAATTGGGTTGACCTTTGCTAGCTGATTGCATTCAGAAGTAGATCGCCGCCAGATTTGATCCAATCGAATTCTAGATATGGTATTTCTTTCCATTGGTCGCACACCCACTTAGCAATAAGAGCGGAGGAAGTTTGAGATCTACGTTATTGTCTCTTGCTGACTGCAGATCTCAATGTTCGTGTAAATCCGCAAGCATCCCTTACTTTCATCACAGTTACCGGAAGCGCAGCAGCAAGCAACTCGTTGGAGCTTTTGCTTAAAAGCTCGGCGGGCAATCTGCTAAATAATTCGTATCTAACTTCCTTATCTCAGAGGCAAAATCGCTCCAATAGAAGGTGATGAGACGATGTCACCTTCATAAAAGGCATGCCTACACCCTCCTCCTAGACTTGACAGTTATACGATGAAGCAGTCTTTCAATTCGGTCCCGCTAACTTTCTCACATTCCTGATTGGGATTCTAATTAACCCCCTTAAAGCAGAAACGTTCGTAGTCCTATCGGCTTTCACAGCTCGGACCGATTGCAACGGAGCAAGACCCTAGGTGGCAGTTATACGTAAAGTATTTAAAAGATATGAAAGGCTCATGTTGGTATTGTTTGCATCTGAAAGGACATTTGTCGCCCCCTGTGAGGTTATTGGTCGAACTGTTGCGCTGTCAACCCCGTCTTAACCGCCAGTTGGCCATCGAATCAATAATGCAAATGACAGGTTGGCGTAGACTGATTTTTAGTTTGCTAGTGAGTCAGGTGTTACGCATATATTGTATTCCTCCTTTGGCAGTGCCGATAACGATTGTCTAATGCTTTTTTGATGTCACAGGGCTGTTTGGAGTGCACGTTCCCCTGAATCGGAGGAAGCGCACGATTAATTTTTTTATTTTAATGTGGAAGTTCTACTGACTAGAAGATTGCAGGGTGAGATGAAATAGGTGTTTTGATCCTTAGGACTTAACTTCCGAAACCATGCACGAAACCCTAAGGACGGTAGCTGGCAAGGACACATCTGTCACTGTCGCGTTGGTTTCCATCCGCTGTAATCGTATAAGAACTACATTATTCGCTGCAAACTGTTCATCGTAAGGCTCCTTGGTTAAGGGGTGGGGGTCCCGAGCCGCTGTTGTCACAAACTGATGATGTGACTAAGTTTTAATATTGCCCCACGTGTGTAAGGTCCTCTGGTATTCGATTTGGCATTCTAGAACAATGTGCTGAAATACATCATTACCAGGATTTTCAGCCATACCACACGCAATGGTGGCAGTGTTAAAAATTCGCCTGAAAACGACCGACCGACCCGCACAACACTTTTGATGTCATTCCGGCATCCATGAGCCTAAGGGACCTACATAATGTAGTGTCTCAAATGAAAGCGATGACGTCATCAATTGATGTTCTTAATTTCCTCGGAATTAGCTGCTAACTTGGAGTAGATCAGTTTATACTAGGGCCTATAGGCGCAGACCGAAAGTTTTGTGTATTAATATTTGGGCCGAAGTTCATCAGCCATAACGGAATGATCGCGTAATAGTCATCAACTGCCGACAGGCAGCTAGTGGTATATTTCGGGGTAAGGGGATACCATACGTACAGCACAGGTACTAGCCAAAAGTCCATACACACGTGTTCCGCCGATATTCTGTCTCCGCAAGACACAGCTGCGAGGGGTTCAGCTCATCGGTGGGTCCCCCAGCATTCCCCGTCTGTTTTCTGGAGGATACTCCAATTTAGAAATTGTTGCTTTTTAATTTCCTCAGAAATTAACTGCGAACTTCTCAGCAGTTAATGAATATTACGCGGTTACCCGCAGTGGCTGATGGACTTCGGCCCCAATATTCATGCATCGAAATTTCGGTCTGAATCTATAGAGCTAGAGTATGCTGATCTACTCCAAGTTCGTAGTCAATTTCCAAGGAAGTTAAAAATCAACAAGTTCAAAATTGGTGTATCTACTAGAAAGCAGACGAGGAATGCTGGGAGACTCAGTGGTGAGCTGAACCTGTCGCAGCTGTGTCTTGCAGCGACAGAATATCGGCGAAACAAACGTGTATAGGCTTTTGGCTAGTACCTGTGCTGTTAGTATAGTATCCTCTTAACCTATAAGTCGTCACTTGATTTAGTCACAAAAGCTGCGAAGATCAAACTAGTGCCGAACTTCATATATGGCCAGAAAAACGGCTCCGCCATCGGAAGGAGTTGTCAACTGTGAGTAGAAGAGAGAATTTTACTAGAAGAGACTTGACCTGGCGCGCATGACAATCTAATCTCAGAGACTGGACTGTTCCATAGGCATCTTGTTTAATAAAACACGCGGGGAACACGAACACTAGTCCAAAACGTGCACACCAATGTCATATATGGGTGAGAAACGATCCCGAACACGCCGTCCTCCGTGGCAACCCCGTGCTCTCATCGATACTTGGCGACCCAAACAGTCCCACATTCTAACTGCCTTTCATCCGGTAGTGACACAAACCGCGCAGGTTGCAGACTGCCCCATATGACGATCTACCCACGAGTTCGACCGTATGCCCCACAGCAGGGTGGAAGCAGGGACGGTGACTTGCGCGGGGTTCATAGTGCCGGTAGACTTGCGCTGCATCTACAACACGCTCTCCTACTCCCTCACCTGAGCCCGATGTCGAGACAAAGTCAAGAATGATATTACCGACAAAGACAAGGGAGACTGGAATGGCCATTTCTGGCTTATTAGCCGTCGTCAGCCAGCCATAGCCAAGCCCGAAGTGTGGAACACCCGAGCCTCGAACTCGCGACCTGTTGGTCTAGAAGTCAACGCTTCTACTCACCGGGCCACGAGCCCGTTGCCCGGAGATGGGGGAGGGCGCAGGTGGATGGCACGGTCGAGCCCGTATCTTGGTGTTCCACCACAACCCGCGGTCCACACAACAAATAACAAGATTTTTGGCCAATAACAACAGAGATTGGAGGCTGGCACGGCCGAAGCCGCACCTAGGCGTGCCGCCAACGCCTGGCTTGGATCCCACACTGTGGTGGGAGTGCCATAAAGGTCACATTAAAAAGGAGCCGTTGCAACCTGACTCTCAGACCACCACAGGCCAAGGAGGAGGTCCAGGTTACCCCGTCAGTTGGCAACCTTCCAAACCACGGCTTCTAGCGCACCGAGATAGCTTCAGGCGCGTCAGATTGTTTATAGTGAGGAAGATGCGCTGAGTCGTCGACCTCACTCTCCCTTCCCATTCCCACACCCCAGCCACTGTCCGAGCCGGTCAGCAGACTGGAGTGGGAAATGGGCGCGATGGCTGTCATGGTCGACTGACCATGCCTGCGCGCGCCACGAGCACGACCTGGCCCTCATACACACAAACACCAGGATTTCACACAAGGTTGTCTACCGCTGGTTTTCGTAATGCGCATGTGGCCGAATAGGCCCATGCGCTGCGTGAAAGTTTGGTCGATTTACTGTCACGATTTGTATACTTGACTTGTATTCGTTCCCCTGGTCTACCACCTCAACTGGGTCATAGTTGAAGGCTTACCTCGTTCACACGGCGTGGTATGCTGTTTGTGACCTTAGATCTAACCTCCTCAGCGTCAGCTGTTGTTTGCGCATGTTGGCCTACTTTTGTCGGTTGCCTTATGAGGTACGGCTGTTTCTCTCTCTCTCCCCCTCCCTCTCTCCCTCTATCTCTTTCTTAATTGAAGTTAAATCAGCAGATAGCAGTTGACGTCTCCTCATTGAGAAACGTTTTTGTCACTCCATCCGCCGCCAGAGTGTTGGCTGCGATTAATGCGCCGGACCAACACAGGGGTCAGATCAGGGTCCGACACGCGTTATTGGGCTGCGCATCCCTTGACAACTACCACGCATGGGGACGTGTTGGCAGCCCTAGCCGCAGGCTCATACCGCGCCAACCAACTCGCGCGATTCCGTCTCCGGCCTTCTGGACTCTGCGTTGACACCGAGTGGGTGAGGGCGGAGATGGTGCGGTAGCGCCGCGCAAGTTTACTATTACTAAAAAATATTAAGTTACCAAACAGGTGTTTTCGGTAATTCTTCGTCAGGCCAATACAATTACATGAAGGAATGAAAATGCGCAAAATCAACAGTGTTGATAGATGTCTCAAGGGCTATTAAGTCATTAACACTCATTGTCCCCACGCCGCCCGCATGAAATGGTCGGCGGGTGTTGGTCCTCAGAGCTAGGGGAGGGGAGTAAGAGAGTCTTTGAGTGATGTTCTTGGATGGAGTACACGGAGTTCCCATCACTGTAATTAGGGATTTGAGACGGCATGGCGTTGGCCACGGCAGAGAGAGCGCTTGTGTCAGGCTTTTCTGACAGCATAACACCGGATTCGCTAACCGTATAGCTACTGCCTCCGCCGTTGCTATTATCTGTTGGCGTAGGCCTTTAGAGAATCATGTTGGTGTCCGGTAGACAACCTGAAATGCTTCCTTGGCATCGACTCGGTGATTCGTATCGATTAAATGTGCGAAAATAGAACTCGAAATCGATCGGGTCTCACCTCTGTCTCGCCAGGCGGGCATATGTTCATGCACCCTCTTTACCAGGCGTCTCGTTGTGCGGCCGATGTATCCTGCCCCACAGGAGCAAGTGAATGAATAAATGCACATTGATGTAGCCTCCAA